AATTGGTCTTTATTACTCACATCCGGAATGACGTAACAGATTATTTTTTCTTTTTTTTTTTATTAAATGTTATAAATATATCCTCACATTAAACAGCTTTTGTCTTAGTTGTGATAACATATTTGCAAAGCGTTATTTACGCTGCTAGATGTATCAGTTATAGTATGAATTGCTGTTTAATGAAAAAACAAAGGTGAATATTATTGCAAAATTATTGATCAACCAGAATCCATTAAAAGTTAACATAACAATAACGTCCCTGAGAAAAACAGTATTTAGGCAAAATAATATTATATATTAGGGGTCATTTTTAAAATACGTCACACGTTAAGACGGAAGGAAGGGGTCGAAATATTATGTGACAAGAAGTGGTAGGACGTTGCGTGACGTCATATTTCAAAATCTAAAGTATTAAAATGCCAAATTTGAACTATTAACGAAAATTTAAAAATATTTCCAACTCTATCTGTATGGGCATAGGGTTCAAATATTTAAATTGTTTTAACAATTTGAAGGGGTGAGTTCAAAGTTCATGCATTCAAGACCATTGTTCGTAATTTTCATTAATATAATTAATAACTTATTGTTTTGTTAATTTTTGCAAATCTTTGATTTGATGTTGATTATATTAAAAAATAATTTAAATGGAAATAAAACTAATTTTGGAGTTGCTGTTTTAGTTTAATAATTTCTAAATGTGACTAACTATGACAAGGATAGGGAAAGGGTCAAAAAATCATGAAATTGGTGTGACGTACTTTATGAATGACCACTTACCATCGTTTTTATTGATATGTGACTGGTAAAGCAAATTTTAATTGTGAATCATACATATATAATTATAGTATTTTTTTATGTATTTTAGAATAATATCTTGAACACAAAGTATTTTAGGAAATCTTGTTCCAGGCATTTTATTTTCATTAATTTACCGTCTCGTACAATCAAACATTAATTATCTTGTTCATGAGTTAACAATTTGACTGCATTAGAATATTCTCATAAGAGGAATTTGACAGAAGCGAACAAATACAGTCAAAAAAAGTATAAATCAGTAAATAATTCTGGTTTCGTTTATTTCAGCTCCTTAATATCTGATGTTATTTTTCTACAAGAGCAAATAGATAATTCGTACATCGAAAATAGAAAATTTAAAATCTATATACTAAATTCTTTTTAGACAAATCGTCATATATAATATAGTACGATAATTTTTTACAGATGCTATATTTAATACTGATTCTCATACAATTAATTTTTATACAGCACCTCAATGGTCTTCTTTTCTTTTCGGGGATGATGAAGAATTAATGATTGTTACGATTTATCAGCGTTGAGTCGTTTATCAATTTGAAAAGCTGATTAAATTAATATTTAATTAATTAATTTATACTTTTCAGATACATGTAATGAAGGTACTACTTATTGTATTATTTTGTATTGTTGTGTATTTACACGTTTTGTGTATTGCTTCTTTTATTCTATATAAATGTCTTCGATCGGGTAAGCAGTCTCAATAAACTTCTGGTAAAATCTTTGGAAGGCACGCCTGCAAGCAACATGATTCACTATTGTTTATTGCTATTAATACGCAACATGTTTGGACTACTTAGGACATTAAAAATGATTTATGCTTTTTACCACTGGTCAACATCATAAAGTCGTCAGTCCTAAGAGTGGTTGGACTCGCATCTCCACGCGTTCCTATCCTGAATTAATCTTCACATTTCTCTAAAACTAGAAAATCCCACATCCTTGACTATTTGCGAACAGTAACCTAATCTAGGTCTATCTCTACTCCTCTTACCTCCTGTTTCTGCCTGTAATACGTCTCTGACTAGACCTTCATGCCTTAGAGGCGCTAGAAACAATAGGAGCAAGGAGGACTCTAAGGAAGTAAATAAGACATAGGCGAGATAGGTTGGTAGGACACCTTCTCAGGTATGAAGGTTTATTCAGAGACATATTAGAGGCAGAAACAAAAATTAACAGAAGTAGGGGTAGACCTAGGATGTGGGTTGTTCTAGTTTTGGGAAAATGCGAAGATTAATTCATGTTAAGAAAGAATGGAAATACGTGTCCAACCAGTCTCAGGACTGACGACTTTATGATGATGATGAAAATACTCTAGTTGTTAGCTTCAGTGGTATAATATTAAAAGAAAATATTTTTTTGGAAATAAGCAAGAAATAAGCTAAATTCAAATGTAGACAAAATACCACAACTATCCACTTTAAATATCAAAGCTGGAGACCGCGGCAATTTTGGGCCAGTGATGTTTTCTTCACGAAAAATTTTTTAAAACCTTTTCTAAAAAACTCAGGCTATATTCCATATTACGTTTAATAAAGGAAGAATAAGCCCAAGCAAGCAGTGGCCTAGCCTAGCACAATTTTTGTTAAATACGTTACCTCGTATTTTAACAGTGTGCTTGTTAGTAAACTATGAAAATTTTCACTCACCCCACACTCTCTGCTACAGGTCTGGTAGAATCATTTCCACGGAATACGTGACAAGCAAACCTTTGTAATGTCGGATGCTTTGTTATAAATCCAAGATACCTATGGTCGCGAGGATGGAAAGCGCAAAACGAAACGTTCTTGAGCGAATAAAAATAATCGATACAAGGTTCACTTTGCTGAAACAAAAATTGATTGATATCATTCTTTTTAAACATTTAGATAACTTACTTCTTTTTTTCTTCTGTCTACCATTCGAAGTCCTTGATCAGACACTTCTAAAATACAGGATTGCGGACAAGGCCCATTTCCAGAACCGAGTACCCTTCGTACAGCCTGGCACACCACCGATGTACCCTTATGAGATAATGTTTCTACTGATCCTAAATATCCTAATAAATATCTCTCTCGTCTGCCACGTTCACAGGTCGAATCCCAGTCTGTGTAATCACTGTCGACTGCATAAGCAGAAGGAAATATTCCTAATCTTCCTGTCCGTAAATTCACCCCTTCAAAATCAATGTCCAATTATTCCTTTCGTTCATTCAGATTAAGAAAAATATGAAAGGGAAGCTAGTAATTTTTTTAGTTAACGGGTAGTTTCCGACATTACGAAATATTTCATGTAGTTTGGACAGCCGGTATATAATATATCGTTCTTTTAGTAATAGATGATGTTCCTTTCTTATGGTTCCCTTTCCTTTTAGAAAAAATAGGGAAAGAGCGAATATAAAGATAGGAGACGAAAAAGTAGAAGAATTAGCTGATTTTAGCTATCTAGGAAGTCAGCTAAGTCAGAACGGAAGGAGTAGCAGGGATAGCTGAGGATATCTCAAGGACGTATCGAAAAAGATTTTTTAAGGTGTATGTTCGGAGCGCTGAGCTGTACGGGTGCGAAACATGGACGGTGGGCGCGGCGGAAAAGAAAGGGTTAGAAGCATTCGAAATGTGGTGTTATAGGCGAATGATGAGGATACCGTGGATAGAGAAGGTTAGAAATGAAGAGGTATTAGAATGAATAAGAGAACAGAGGACTCTAAGGAAGTCAATAAGAAATAGGCGGGATAGGCTGGTAGGACACCTTCTCAGGCATAAAGTTCTAGTCAGAGGTATATTAGAAGCAGAAAACGAAGTTAGTAGTAGAGGTAAACCTAGATGATGGTTGTTCTAGTTTTAAGGAAATACGAAGATTAACTCAAGATAGGAAAGAGTAGAGGTGCATGTCCAACCAGTCTTAGGACTGACGACCTTATAATGATGATCCCTTTTAGTTAAAGTCAATTACCTTCACTCCAAAGATCGTCTGCCTCCTTTTGAACGTATATAGGATCGCCTATTTCGACTTCAATTTCATCTTCATGTCTGGGTATGAATTTATGTAACCCTCGATGAGTGGCTTCTAGCATGTCTACATCTGGATATAACAAACCGCCTCCTAACGAGGCAGGGGACATTCCCAACAATGGAGATAAGGATTTGGGACAGTCAGTTGGAGAATGAGCTGTACTATGTCCACTATCTACATCTGTCAGCAGTCTGTCTGAATCTGGAGAATCTGAATCCCGTAAATAGCCACATTTTAGGAACACTAACGAACTTGGTCCGCTGCTGCTACTACCACCACCCCCTAATTCATCTGCTAGAGAAAGTTCCCTTGATAGAGTTGGTTGTTGTTGTTGTTGTTGTGCGTGGTAAACACTCATAACAGATGCTGTAATAAATAATTAAATAATGCTGACTCCACTTTTACCAAAATAAATAAACGCAAATATTTTCAAAAATTAAAAATATTTTTCTTCGTTCATTGAAACGGATCCCATATGCATACCTATACATTTTTTATTTTTTGGTATTTCTGGCAGTTTCCGTCTTCTTCGTTCACCTCCTATGCTTATACAATTTCCTCTAGTTGTTTGTCCGGAAATGTCTTCCTGAGGGCACAGTAACGTCGGGGAGCCTGTTTCCCGTTGTATATCAAAGTCTGTTTCGCCATCACTTTTGGAAGACGTTGGAGAATCTTCATCCACCGTAACGTCGTGAACTAGCCTAAAAAATATGCGCTCAGCCACTACATACATTATTGTTGTTAGAAAATCAACCAAACAAACTAGAAGTAAAATGTGCACGGAGAAAATGAAAAAGAAAATTTTCCTAAATATTAAAGCGATATTTACAATTTATCCNTGAATATAGAAGATTATTCATTAGGGCAGTCGAACTTGGAGCAAGTAAGTTTTAATAAATATAATCACTTTTTTGTTGAAAAACATGTAGCAGGTAATGTTTCTCAAGATGATGTTCGACACTCTTTACCGAATAGTAAAAGAAGTTTTCCTTTTCCAATTTATTACAATTTTCCGATATAATGCATAATTATGGAGTAATTAACAATTAAGGCAGTTAAACAATTGAAAATACAACAATGAGTACAAAAGACAAAATTGAAAAACCGTTAAAAAGGAAAACCGATTTTCACGAACCATTAAAACAAAAGCCTGCAACAAATAGGAAAGGATTTGTTGGCTGTGCTTTGACTGTCACAAGCAATTGAAACTAAAGCCCAAAGAAAGCTTTGACTAGTTGCTAGTTACAACTGAAAAAGAAAGCTGAACTGGCTATCACTAGCAATTGAAATAAAGTCTAGCAACAACGAAAAAATACTTCGATTGATTATTACTGACATTTAAAACAAAAGCCAGTAATAAAGAGAAAACACTGTGCTTGATTGCCACTAGCAATATAGAAGTGACACTTTGATTGCTTAATAATTTTCAGCTTTAATTGTTAGTTAATCCATAATTACTTATCGATTCGAAAATGCGAAGAAATTTTCTTTCAAAATTACCCAGGGATAAGAATAGAATGTTTTCATTAGAATACTCACCGTTTTTAAGATTCTTTTTTATGTCTTTTAACGATTAATATTTCTTTCAGGTATTTTTATCATTTACCAAATTACAAAGAGAATCATTCTCGTAATTGTGATTAAACTAGTCAATTTTGTGATAACGTTCAAAATGGAATTAATAGATAAAATAGTACAATGTTGGAAACTATATGTACATAAGTATTTCGGAAATAGTTTAAAAGTGCATTTGTTTTATTACTGTTTAGACAGATTTTATTCTACTACCGTTTTCAAAGTACTTACATAAAATTTTATACTAATAAGTAAATAATTAGATGATAGAAAAACAAGGAATGAAAAGGAAATTACGGTGCTATAGATTAGTGTTGAAACTATTTATTGTTAATTGGCTATGAAGTCCCATATTTATCACGTGTAATGTCATTTAGTATCACTTCTGTGTTGACTTTAAGGTCGCTAGATACAGTTAATAATAATTTGATTTTAAATGTTTTTGTGTTCATCAGATTACGTGTTCCCATTTACCTTTTCCTAATAGAGGCTTTAAGCTATATGTATGTACGTATGTCTACAAATAAGTAAATATTTTTTTGTAATAGAAGTGCTAAAAATACTTAGTAGATATTTATTTTTAATAAAGGTTTGAATTTATTTCCCTTAACATCATTTCCTAAACTGCAAATGCATATTATATTCAGATCATGGACTTTTTATTAATTTTCCTGTAATCTATAAGTAAAGAACTGTTTTATATATTTTTTTCAAAATTTTAGGTTCAGTATTTAAAAAAATATCTATATATTTGAGGCCCTTACAACAAGGCCTTTCACTTGATATATCACACGGTACGGTTTACAAAACTTTTTTTTTTATTTCCTATTGGTCTCCCAAAAATGACCCTCATGTTCAAAATTTATTTATTTACGTTATGCGATCGTGTTAGGGTTACACAAATTCATATGTGTACTAAATTTCAACTCAATCGGTCCAGTAGATTCGAAGTAAATTGACTGTGACAGACGGACAGACAGACACACAAGTGGTCCTGTAAGGGCTTCGTTTTCCATTCGGACGTACGGACAGGGGCGGCCTTAGCCATCGGGAAGTTCCGGGCGGGTAAACTTTTGCGAGGCCCTCGTCTTTGTGGAATTAGTTTTAATGATGATACTTGACGACAAATTCAAAGTTATTCATAAATAATAAATAAAGTTATTCATAAATAATTGGAAAATTTTAATAAAAGACAGCAAATTTGCAGCTTTTTTAAGACTATTAAGAAATTCAAATAAGCATTAGTACTATGTAATAAAGTTAGATAGCTGCAAGAAGGCGCGAGGCCTCTGCAAGAGCGAGGCCCCGGGCGGTTGCCCTGCTCGCCACCCCCAAAGGCCGCCCCTGCATGTAATTTCATTTTTACCTAAGGATGAAGTGATTTGCTCGGTCCATTCAACTGTCGGCTCTATTCTAGCTTGTTTTGCATTTCTATTGATAACGAGTATCCTTCCTGCAGGAAGCGTTGATAAAATGTTGGGAGGATCATAGTATATTGCATGATGCATGAAACAAAGCTATGAAATAAATAGTTCTCATTCTATATTAGTATAGTAACCCGTTGAGAATCTCGATTTTTAAATTAACTCTAGTTTACCTAGAGCTCCAAGTCTGTAGTTTAATGTCACAAACACTACATCCTGATCCAGCATATATTCAGGACCTGCCCAATCGCTCCTGCCAGTAACGCTATAAAATCCTCCAGCATGGATGTAAACAATTACGGGCCGGGTAACGTTGTCCTGTTGAATATTTTCGGGAGACTGCAGAAAAAGCAATTTAAATTAGTATAAATGTTATACAAACCAATAAATAGTGAAATACACTTTCCCTTCACTCATTGAAAGAAACCTAAGGCTCTTTTATATGACAACCGTAGCGAAGGATTTCAGGTCTTCACTACACGTTCCCTGAGGATGGCAACAGTAGCAGCTGACGAAACGTCGGATAAGCGACTTAACGCAGGAACAGAACCAATCCGAAACTATGACAATCAAATCTAAATCTCGAACTCTCTTTAAAATGTACCATTGATGACGGATCGTTGTTGAAATGAACGATTAAGTTAATTCATTGTGAATACCGTTGATAATATGAGCGAAATTGTTATATATCAAAGTCTCACTAGCGACCGAATTCAGTCTCAGAAAAATCCACTGAAGATACTAGCCGCAGTGTCCGACGAAACGTATGGACTTAATCGTTCATTTTGAACACGGTCCAAATATTAAGTCTGCCGATAGAAATGTCATTCACATAAACCTTAATTAATTCCTACAGTCATCTGCAGGAGACTAATATTCATTTGAGACACATTGACATTTAATGGTGGATAATATCAAATATTAATGTGAAAATTCATTTTTAATTTTTTACCCACTGTAAACTACCTCAGGATAATGAGGGAAAATTTGTTGTTGTTGTCACGCCCTCGCCGGGAATCGAACCCGGCACCTTTAGCTTTACACATCAGTGACCAGAGGATAGGTGCGTAAAGCATAACTACATTAAGAAAGCTGGATTGCTAGTCCCTATGCAAAAAGACTATAAACGGGAAGAGTAACTTGTTAGGTTGAGGTACACAACATTAGTAGATAGGGGCATATGAAAAGGTAAATTAGTAATGCTCAAAGTGCTCACTTTGGCTCACTGTGTATCGCATTATTTACGAAGGAGGCTATGCTTATATTTATTTATTTATTTATTTATATATTTATAATTTACATCAGGAAAATTATAGATAAGAGCAATAACTTAATCCGATGCGAATGAATCTGAAAGGTATCATCACTAATAAAGAACAGAAAATGCGTTCGTTCGCTGCGCGATGAGCGACTGCGCATAAACTTCGGTATTGTTAGTTGTCATGCACAAAACGTAAACAAAATCTTACCTACGCGTCAAATTGTATGCGCACTACCTTACTGCGCAGTGGACAAACGATGATAACTATCATAATTGCCTTCTTGATGTGATGTAACAAAATAACTCAACACACGGAAGAACATACATATTCATAGATTCATAGTGAGCCATGCTAAGCTTTGTATATTGCCAATTCACAATGGTTATCCTTTTACTTACTTTTCTCATCCTTGATAACATTATTTGGAATAGTATTGTAGCTACCACGAGCGTGATTGTGTGCGATCGGGCATACATGTGTATGAGCGGCTTATCGATTCGCCGACTAGCCGCGGGCGCTTTTCTTCATGTGCGCCGTATCTGTAAACGTGTGTGTCGTACCTGCGTTCCGGGAAAGCAATTAAACCGTTCAAAGAAAACGAGACTTCTCTGGACGGCTGGAGAA